AATAATTCCAAATATTTCGAATTTTCACCACCAAGAACGTCGGTTACAACATTTTTAACATTAAGGCGATGTTTCGCATTGTATTAGCAATGCCCTATCTAAAAATTTAGTTATGCAACTCACTCGGTTTCGAAAATTCAATACCTATGTTATGATCTTAAACTTGAGGGTAGTTGTTCTTACTTTTTTATCTTTACGTTAATCAAATATTTTTAAATTAAGCGACTTCACATTAATGACAACCTATAATTACTATTTAGTGAGGGAATATGGAAAATCTGGAAAGCAAGAGCTAGGGATAAACTCAGCAAATCCACCTATCTTAACACTGATTCGGTTGGCTGATTCCCCTCCTGTAAACATTAACTTGTGACATTGACATTATATTTCAAGTTCAATCAATAAACTTCCCATACAATGTGATGGAAAAGGAATCCTGAGTGACGATTTGTTTTAATTATTAAAAAATTTAAAATATTCGTAGTAGCGTTAATATTACGACAGATTTCCAAACCCGCAATATGGTAAAAATGTCGATTTTTTAATGTCATAGCAGCTATATGTAACAAAATTTTCGAATTAACTAACAAAGTAGCAGGATATTAAAGTCGAAGGTACCGCGGGTGTTATAGGATAATAATACACTCGGTCAACGTACATTATTGTTCTTGCAACATCCTAGGTAACTTAATTACTATAAAATATCTTTTTTCTTTGTAGCAAAAATACACAATTATATAGAAAAGCAAAATATTTATCCACTTTTCTACGAGCTTCTCAACAAAAAACAAAACAATACTAAATTAATTTTTAAATAATTATTATTGGAATCAGATAGGTATTTCTTTAGCATACACATAAATATGTCAGTTTCACGTTTATTTCTCTGTAGGAGTGTTCAGATATAAAATTCATTAAATATTTATTGTGCTTGACGCACTACCAATCAGGTCACCCCTCTAAAAATTTTCCCAGACGCAGGATTCGAACGACATTCTTTTTATAGATAGCGGTTTTCAAGAAGGTCATGACGTACTGCTTTTTTTTAGAAGCAATTTTACGGAAGAACTCTTCAGATACTTTCTTTTTTACATTTTAAAATTCGAATGACAATTACCTATTAAATTTAAAATGTTGAAACCATATAAAAAAATCCTAAATTGTAATTTTAAATTGATGGTGATTGATTACCTAGCAAGGTTTTTAATAAAAAAATTGCTTCCAAAAATGACAGGGATGCCATTGAACTGAATATGCTACGTTGTAGACATGATACAAAAAGGTGTCTCTAAAGGGTCTGTGCAATGCTACAACAGATAAAGTACGACTCAAAATAAGTGTCAGTTGAAAAAAATAAATAACATTTTCTTTAATTATACATTTACAAATTTAAATGCCTTTTTCTTGAAAACGGTTAACTTTAGAGATATTAGCAAAGTAAACCTATTTTAAGCAGAAAAGTTGAGGGAAAAGATTTTCCCAGCCCAAAGTGAAATACACAGTGGTCCAAAAAAGTTTTGGCAGTTTAAAAGCGTCCTAATGGTCGCTTGTGACGCTCTCTAGAAGATACAACGAAATCGTCGATAAATTCGAATTTCTCATTCCAAAAAACCTCCTCGCACGAAATTTCACGAAATTAGCTCGAAGTAATCGAAAGATATTAAAGAAAATGTTATTTATTTTTTCAACCCTTTAGTTATTATGAATATTTGGACTAAGGCAAGTTTAGTTCAATCGACTTATTTTGAGCCGTACTGATGTAGCGTTGTACAGACGCCTTAGGGACACCCTGTATATTATTATATTATAGGTAAGTGTTTTGTTTCTAAGGACAAGCTTGGATTGATTCATACATATACAATTTCGGAAACATCTGCTGCTTTTTCGTATACTGTATGTGTGCATATCAGATGTCGAAAATTATTATTTTCATATGTTTTCGCAACTTCGTTAATCAGTTTTTAAAAAATAATGTCAAATAATGTCCATATTAGGTTGGTTTACTGTTTATTAAATTAAACGATTTAGAATGAGTGTTGAATTTATATTCAACAAAGTGTTAGTCCTACTAATACCTGAAAATGGTGGAAATAATGGAAATAATGAACTGATTATTGGACAAATTGTACAGAATATCTCACATTTAGTTGGTGCACGGCGCCACATAAATCTATGTGTGTTAAGATTGTACTAACATTCAAAAGAAACACATCAAAGTTTCGTCACATTTCGACCATTACCAGGGCGGATCTGTCTAAATATCCCACTTCTTCGATATAAGAAGAGCACATAATAAAAGCGTAGATCCCTAGATCTGGGCGAGGTCCGGAACATTTTTAAAATTGCAAAAATGTTTAAAAAATTTAAACAATACCTATTTTATCTGAGTTTTTTCTTTTTTTTTGGAACCTATGCATTTTGGAACAATATTGAAGAGGAAAAAAAAAGTTTTATAATTGAATTTTGCACAATATACTGTAAGTTAACAATGTTTAAATTACGTTGTTAAATTATGTATTACCGGTGTTGTAAAATACCAATAATTGATGAAAATCAAGTTTTTTGGATAATTTTTTTAAAGTATATTAAATTGCTCCGAGGGCATTCTAATTTTGGTAAAAAAAACTTTAAAGTATAATAAAATAACACCAAATTTCATTAAAATTGATTAGATAGTTTTCGCAAAACAATTTTTTGAAAAAAATTTTGAAAAATGTTTCGAGTTTTCAAAATGTTGCACAGCCTTAAATAAAGTATCTAGATAATTGAAAATTTTTTCACATAGAAAACACCGCTCAACCTTTCAAATGGTTTTTGAAAAGTTGAAATCGGTTGATTAGGACGGCGACAGTAAATTTTTAAAGTTAACACTCTTTTTATTATTTTCAAATAATTAGATTACATTTATCAATTTGCAAATTAGTTTTTTCAAAAATTATAATTTTAAAGTACTCGGAAAGACGCTTCTTTTAAAAAAAAGTTAAATTCCGTTTATTGGTTCTCGAGATATAAGCGGTCAAAGTTTATCGACATTTACCGTTAATTTATAAACAATTTAGAAATAATCTTTGATCCAGTGGCTTCGTTTTTCCGAGTTCTAAACTGGAAAAAATTTTCATATCCATAAGTTATCGCCAACATATTTAAATCAGCGGAAAAGCTGTCGCTCGCACACGCGAAAAGTAACTCAAAACACGAAAAGTGGGGGAGGGGGCTTTCACTCCGAGACTGAATTCGGAGGTTCAAAATGCGAAGGTACGAAAAAAATTGCATTATCTCGGCTTCTAATGGATCAATTTCGATTTTTTTTTTAATCCGATGTCTCGCGAGCCAAGGAATTTGAATATCGTAATGCCAAATGTCTAATTTGCACATATTTTGTTATAAACAAAGTTTATTATTTATGCATTAAATATACTGTATATTTTATCCTATACTATTACATATTTTCAATAAAAAAAATTGTTTACGTATATATTTCAACGCTCTGAATATGATTGTATTTAGTTATAATTATTACAATTGTTTAAATAATTTTTATTTAATCAAATTAAAAAAAAAAATTTGGTAATTAATTTTTTGTTACCTAAATACAGATGAAATTAAGAAAAAATAGTACTTTAAAATTATAATTTTTGAAAGAAACTAAATTGTAAATTGATAAATGTAATCTAATTGTTTAAAAATAAAAAATGAGTTAACTTTAGAAATTTACTATGGCCGTCCTAATCAACCGATTTCAATTTTTCAAAAACCATTTGAAAGGTTGAGCGGTCTTTTCTATGTGAAAAAATATTCAAGTATCTAGATTTGAGGCTGTGCAACATTTTGAAAATTCGAAATTTTTTTTTCAAAATTTTTTCTGAAAATTATTTTGCGAAAACTGTCGAACCTATTTTAATGAAATTTGGTGTGTTGTTTTATTATACTCGAAAGATTTTTTTACCAAATTTAGAATGCACTCGAAGCAATTAAAATATTTAAAAAAAATTATCCACAAAACTTGATTATTTTGCCGTTTTTTCCTCAATTATTACTATTTTGCAACATCGGTAATAAATGTAAACATTGTTAACTTACAGTATATTGTGCAAAATTAAATTCTAAAACTTTTTTCTTCTTCAATATTCTTTCAAAATGCATAGGTTCCAAGACATAAGTAACAAAACTCAGATAAAATAGGTACTTTTTTAAATATTTTAAACATTTTTGCAATTTTCAAAATGTTCCGGTTGTACTGAAGGTATTCCAGCAAAAATTAGCTTGCCCCCTCTCACATCCACCTCAAAACAGATCCGCCCTGGTCTATATCGAGATATTGAAGTTTTAGTGACGCTATTTTTGACATTTTGAGAACAATGAACACAATCGAATTTCGTGAGCTGATTAAACACTGTTTTTTGATGGGCAAAAATACCGTTGAAGCTCAGCAATGGCTGAGCAACAGTTTCCGGTGGTTTGTTGAGTTTAAACCGAGTCTTACGGACATCGACGCGACGGTACTGATCGCTCGGAACGTCCAAATAATGTGACAACACCAGAAAACATAAAAAGAATCCTCAGAATTGTCTTGAATTTCGACGATTTTTTTGATGTTTTCTGACGTTGTTACCTCATTTGGACGTCCTTAGCCTTCAGCAACATCGTTGTCCTTGAAGAAGTAGAGCCAGTTCGTTTCCAGACAGCTCAGAACAATTGAAGAGTTAACCCATCACCCACTAAAACTGTTGAGATAACCTGTACAACTTTATTGATCTCTACCTTCAGCGTAAACCGATGGAATTAGAAGAGTGCTCAGTTGAAATTAAACCAATATTATGCGTATGAACGAACAGAAATATAATCTATAACTACGCTAATATTGACACTGTCTACGTCTACGTCTACGTCCACCTCCACCTATACAGACCGCAGCTTAGCTTCGGCGAATGCCCAGCAAATATACTTAGGCCCGGTCGGGGACCAGCGACTAATCTCGGATCTAGTGGGTCTTTACTTACCAAAAGGAAGCTCGAAGCGGCAGTCGACCAGCAGGGAATGGCCCGTCGGCATCTTCGTCCCTACCACCTCCCCGTCTCTCATCACCAGCTCCGCCTCGAGCGACAACCATTGGCCGTTCCCTTCCTGAAATTACGTGCACAACAGCTAGATTACTACTTCTATGGTGACGTGTAACTATGCTAAGTAGTCTTACTAAGGGGATTTGATTGAGAAGATTATTGGGAGGTCTGCGTCGCGCTGAGATTATTTCGTTACGTTAGAAACTGCAAAACGGTGCTTAAAACTGTCAAAACTTATTGAGAACCCCTGGAATCGCCCCCGAGTTACATGCTACACAAAAAGGGGTGCATAGTTATGGCCGTAAATGACGCGCTACTCGCTTTTTCTTCTTACTTTTTGTTGTAAACAGAAAACTTTCTAATTCAGCTTCAGCTAATCACGAGTCCTGCGTTTGTTTTACATTTTCATTAAGGAAAGTGTGATTAATGTTATATTTTTAATTTTTTTTAATTTTTTTTTAAATTCTTATTTCAACTGTGTGTTCTTTCTGTGAAGGAACATTGTGCTTGTGTTGTGTGTATTAGTAAGTGCAAATATACAGTTCTCGCCTAAAATATGGAATAAATTCAGTAAAAACGAAATAAATTTTTTTTGGGAAAAATCCTCGAACAGTCGAGTTTTCTCCTATGTATTGTATCAATTATATTTACTGTTTAAAAAATATCTAGTTTTTTTATCTATACCATTGACGATACATCCTATATAAGTATAATTTTTTCCTGTGCCAATCTAAAACATGCTCTCAACATCGAGCTAAACGGAAAGAAATTCCTGAAATACAATTCAGTGAGAACCTGCCTACACGCCCTGCTTGTTCGGCAGATTGTAATTCTCTTCAATCTATGAACGTACTCTACTAAATTATGAAATTGAGCCAACTAAATTTGGTGGTCTATATGTTGCTCTAAAAATATTCCATGTTCATATGTTGTCACATCCATTTATAATTAAAATACGCGTTTAGGAGTATCCGTTTTGGTTAAATTCAAATGCGGGTTTATAAATTTAATTAAAAATGCAATTTAAAATTATTTGTTCTCCGGAATTATATTTATCCATGCGGAATTTTGTAATTGTAACAATAAATTAAATTGGTCTCTACATATCTAACTGTCATGTAACAATAATTTTATTTGGCCTTGCGGCGTTAGGATGATGGGCGCAAACTAAACAATGATACACAGAAAAATAAGTAGTAGTTGTCTAAAGTCCATTTTTCGATCTTAGCTCAATAAATATAATCCTGGCTAGCTCGGTGTATTGAGGATTCAGTAAATATTAAAAAATTATAAAGTTTGTGCTAAGTAAGAAAACGAGTTTCAATAGAGACCAAGGAAAAAGAAAACATACATTAAAAAAACAAAATTTCTGTGGAATTTATGTGGAAACTTAGGGAGGTTTATCTGATTTGGAATTGACGAACAAATATTCATAAAATAATGAATATAAGCTTATTAATAAGAAAATCCTCAAAAACGTAAGCGAGCGAACGACGAGCGAGCCAGCAAAGTGTAACGTTGCCAAATCTAAAGGCTTACTACTTTAGTCACTAGCGAATCCACAGAAACTCTCGTTAGACTTTAGACGTACCTCCGTACCCGATAAACCTCCTTAAGAAAAAAAAACGATTATTGTGTTTGATGGAAATAAAAATATGTCGAATTTGAAAAATCCTTTGTACTTAACTATATCCTATAACCAATCAAGTAAGTCAGAATTGGTTTGAACCGCTAAACTAAGCTAGAAAAAATGTAAGATATATGTATATAAAACCAACCAAGGTAAGGTTATCTTATCAATTTGAGAAATGCTAGCCATTAGATTGTACAGCAAACTTCATTTATGATGAGATATCTAGCACAGAAATACACATCTGCTTTTATATAAAGATGCGTCATAAAAAATGGAGTCAATGTCGTAAAAAAATTGTTTGTAAAATCCTTATAGTTTCCGAGAAAAAATTTATTGAAATTGTAGTACCTTCAACCTTTACATCGCTAGGCGCTACATCTCTAGCGTCATTCGCGTCGTGTGTTGAGCGATTCTGAATACCGAAATCCGTTAGTATTATCGTTGTTGCAAGAGTGTTTACATTAGTTTTTCAAGTGTCAGAAATGGCTTATGTGCATAGCAACTCGGAGTTGATGGATATCGTTTTAAAAACTTTTTTACTAAAAATTAAAAACATATCCATTTCTTTGAAAAGATATTTTGCACCTTTTAGAGTATATTGAAAAAATATAATAAAATTCATTCATTTTTCTGCTTGTTATGATTTAGCACTAAATTTTTTTTCTATTATATGCTTCTTTTACGTTGTACAAGAATGTTTTAAAAAATTAGATAACATTATCGAATATTACCGAAGGATTTTTTTTTTGAAACTGTGAAATATTTTTATAATTTAATAGTAGGTGTACAAAGTGTGAAAGCTGCTAAATGTAAAGAAATATTAAAACGGCTTTATTATGTTTCATAAATAAACCGAAAACGCTCCTTAGAAGTGTGTAAAAAAATTAAATTCATACTCTTAAAGGTGTCAAAAAAGCAATATTTATTTATACTCGTTCTAAATATAATCTTTTAAATTAATTTTAGTTAAAAACTGTGTATTGCAGCAGTCAGCAGATTTACATCAGGGAGCCTATTTAAGCAGAAATTATTACGTGTTAATGAGTAATTTTAAAGCAGCGAAGCATTCAACAGATGGTCTAATTTTATAACAACATCTGCAAACAAACCCTTTGACAGACTAATGAGACTTGTTACCTATGGAAATTTCTCTCCGAAGTAAAAATACTGGTCTTATTAAAGGTCATCTAAATATAAAAAAATGTAGAATAAATTATATTTTAACTCGCCGACGCCTTTGTAAAGTTTTAATTACAAAAGTGATAATTTCGTTCGTTGACAAATTGAAGGCTATTCGTATTCCCGTTTGTGAGTTTCCCAAAAACTAAAAAGAGACAAAAAAATCATCATTCATTCAAATATTAATTTAAAAAAAATAATGGCGTACCTAGTTTCCTTATAACAATCCTTCAAAATATTTAATATTAAGAAGGCAATGGTGACGATGCAAAGTTATTTTTTTAATTCAATATTTTTAATTGTGATAAATTTATTGATAAACTGCATCTTCGAAAAGAAATGATCAAAATTCTAAATTCTTCTAAATTAAATTACTTAATTCAAAATTTGTAAATGTATCTACTGAAAACTCTTTGCTGAAAATTTTTTACTCTTTTTCAACATAGATTTAGTAAATGAATGTAAGTTTGTGGTTATAACTTAACGGTTAATGGTTATAACTATATTAGTTGCTCTTTGTATGCAGAAAAACAGGATTTTAAATAACATACGCGGACGGTTTCATTCTGAAGTAGAAAGCAAACCCTTTGACAGACCAATCCCAAATAGCAGTTCTAGGTCATCAATGTTGCTATCCTAACTTTGAAATTTGGGGTAGTCGCAACTTTATCCCAACACGTATTAATTTAGTTCACAAAATTTAAATTAGTTCAAAATTGGAGCTTGAGTTATTTTGCTCTGAGCTGATGTATTAATTTCTACTATTTCAGGAAATGTATACAAGGTGATCCATTAACGGTATATAGGAAACTAGACGTGCTACGATGATGGGGTAAAAAATCTATTANAGTTTGGATACCTAAGAGACAAGATATTAATAAAATAATTTTTCACGATTTAGTACGCAGTCTTACGAGAATGATGATTTTTTTGGTCTTTCCAAGAACAGTTTCCACTGCAACTTGTATACATAGGAAACCGATATCTAAGGAACCGTATGACAGCTCGTTGAAATCGATTAGGTACTTGTAAGATAAATAATTTATAATAATTCTCCTTCAAACTTAACTAAACCTCCATATGCGTGATAGCGGCAACGCCGCTGTCTCGACGTAGCGTATTATTTGAATTTAGCAGGTGTCCATGCAAATAGTATGATCGAACGCAAGCGAGCGAACGACGAGCAAAGTGTAACGTTGCCAAATCTAAAGGCTTACTACTTTAGTCACTAGCGAATCCACAGAAACTCTCGTTAACCTTTAGACGTACCTCCGTACCCGATAAACCTCCTTAAGAAAAAAAAAACGATTACTATGTTTGATGGAAATAAAAATAGGTCGACTTTGAAAAATCCTTTGTACTTAATTATATCCTATAACCAATCAAGTAAGTCAGAATTGGTTTGAACCGCTAAACTAAGCTAGAAAAAAAGTAAAAGATATGTATATAAAACCAACCAAGGTAAGGTTATCTTATCAATTTGAGAAATGCTAGCCATTAGATTGTACAGCAAACTTCATTTATGATGAGATATCTAGCACAGAAATACACATCTGCTTTTATATAAAGATGCGTCATAAAAAATGGAGTCAATGTCGTAAAAAAATTGTTTGTAAAATCCTTATAGTTTCCGAGAAAAAATTTATTGAAATTGTAGTACCTTCAACCTTTACATCGCTAGGCGCTACATCTCTAGCGTCATTCGCGTCGTGTGTTGAGCGATTCTGAATACCGAAATCCGTTAGTATTATCGTTGTTGCAAGAGTGTTTACATTAGTTTTTCAAGTGTCAGAAATGGCTTATGTGCATAGCAACTCGGAGTTGATGGATATCGTTTTAAAAACTTTTTTACTAAAAATTAAAAACATATCCATTTCTTTGAAAAGATATTTTGCACCTTTTAGAGTATATTGAAAAAATATAATAAAATTCATTCATTTTTCTGCTTGTTATGATTTAGCACTAAATTTTTTTTCTATTATATGCTTCTTTTACGTTGTACAAGAATGTTTTAAAAAATTAGATAACATTATCGAATATTACCGAAGGATTTTTTTTTTGAAACTGTGAAATATTTTTATAATTTAATAGTAGGTGTACAAAGTGTGAAAGCTGCTAAATGTAAAGAAATATTAAAACGGCTTTATTATGTTTCATAAATAAACCGAAAACGCTCCTTAGAAGTGTGTAAAAAAATTAAATTCATACTCTTAAAGGTGTCAAAAAAGCAATATTTATTTATACTCGTTCTA